AAGTCTACATTCCCCCCTGACATGGCAAATTCTGTAACACAACATGTTAATACAAGTAAGAAATCTTGAAGAGATTGTTGATATGGACATTAATGTGTGATGTAAGTGATGAGTCCATACTATCTATATATAGGAGTTATACCCTGCTTGGCATTTATGCTCCTAGATTTGGTAGCTTAAGCCAACTGAATTCCCTTGGAGTGTCTACTAGGAGAAAAATGGTATCGTGCCCTATCTGATATTTATGCCTCTAGATTTGGTAGTTTGTGCCAACCAAGGATTACAGTTTTAAAGCATCTACTTGGAGGTACATATATGTGCGGGATTCCCATTCATAGCTGTGTAAGCTAAAAACATGAAGTGAAAAGATAATTTATTAAAATATTAACATATGTTCCTATAACAAGTCTATATTCTAGCCTTGGCGAAAAGAGACAATCAGGGTGTCTCTGGATTGACTTGTATAAAAGGTTATCTCATACATCCTTTGACAAAAATGAACTAACAGGTTAGATGGTTTAAACTGATGACAGAATTTCCACCTCCTATATAATTTCACCTGGTATGTGGGCAATACACTCATGATATAGGTCAGTATAGTTGGATTATAGGTAGATAAGGTAACAGTTAAAATTACAGTTAGTAGTAATATTAGCATGTATAAGACTATTTATGTATATGGCCTGAATCAAGTTCAATAAAAACCATTAGGCATTGATTACCTTTTTCACCATAAAAAAAAATAATAATAAATAAAGTAAAAAGAAGACAATAGGTTAAACTTGTAAAAACCTTTTAATCTCTATACTTGATTTTCAAGATGATTTCTTTGAGAGATTTTCTGGATAGGTCTCTATACTCATTTTTAATTATTAAGAAAAATTTAATAACTGATTTAGCAGATCTTTTATACTGGTTAAAAGTTTATTACAAAGTTTTAAAATTTTTTCTTATTTACTTGAAAATTTAGTATTTATTATGTACTATATATGAATATAATATTAGTAATTAATTACAAGGAAAGTTAAAAACTGCAGGTGGTAACAAGGAGTACAGTATCTTCTCCAAGGAACCAGGCAAAAAGTATTGAACGGGTTATCTGGGTGTTCTAATCAACTCTCAAAGGTACATGCTCTAAATGACAACTGCCAAGATCTAGATTAGGTTAGGTAGTTTAAAACTAGTGGTAGGATTTTTACCTCCTAAAGATCCCACCCGGTGTGCGGATCCACTCTCATGGTGGATAAATTGGTATAACTGGGTAAGGCTATAGATGGGAGTGTGGGTTAACTTAAATGGATCTTGTAGTTATGTAATTAAATATAAATCACTTAATAAAGATCATGTGCTATATGCGCTCTTTACCTGAAAAAAAATATTAGTAGTTAATTCAAAGTATCAATTAGTATTATCAGATCAGGAGGGTAAAAGAACTCTAATATTTCTATTGATTGGCTTGAAAAGAATGATTATCAATTTCTATTTCTGTACTAGAATTATAAATTGTGTATAGAATTGCTTGTGAATTAATTTGATTAATGTTAAATTATATTAATTTGTTAAATAAGTTAATTTAACTGTATTTTGTTTAGAAATAATTATATAATATATTGTATTTAAATAATTATCTTATATTTCATTATTGTATTTTATTATTTTGGCTTAAGAACTAAAGTATTTATCATTATATATAGAAGAAGATATTATATATAAGTTGTATTATATTTATAATCAGATTGTATATTAATATTGTTAATAATTTCTTTAATTAGAGCTAAAATATTTGATAAGGGTTTTAATTAAAAAAAAGTATTTTTGTCTATATTAGTTTGAATATTCAATTTATTCCATGAGATATAATAGTTATAATTTAGCTTTTGTTTCATTGTTTTTTTTATAATATTGATATTAATTTTAAAAATATTTTGAAAATTCAAAAATGAGTTAAGAGCTTCTATTGATATTAAATTGAGAAAAAAGATATTGACTATAGTAATTGAAAAAGATAATTTGTTAATTTTATAGGATTTTAAAAAAAATAGCAACAATTTTTAAAGTTTTTGGTTTATTTATAATAAAACTAACTGGTATAAACTATACTTGGAAGTGGTTTTCTAGTTGGAAAAATTTAATTGTTATAGCAAAGTTAAAGATAAATACTTTGTTGATTTTGATATTTTTGTAAATCATAACAGCTTCAAGATTAGAGAAATTGATAATAAATATATTTAGAAAAACAAATTTATAATTAGAAAGGCAATTCTTAAAGAAGGAGTTTTTTTCAGAATCTTTGGATATTTTTTTGAAGTTAAAATTTTAAATTATTTTTTTGATAGTTTTTGCCAAATATATATATATTTAAAAAAGAATTACTTTAAAAAAAATTTTTATTGTATATTATCAAATAAATCAATATATATATTAATTTTGGTTTTAATATAATAGAATTATGTTATTTAATTTCTATATAAATTATTAAATAATTTTGTTTTTATATTATAATATTATTGTTTAAAATGGCTTTATAAGTATTAATTATTTGATTTGATTATTTTAATTTATTAATTTATAAGAAAATTTTTTTTAAAAAAATCAAAATAAATTCAAAATTAGTTTTATAAAATTTGAATTTCAAACTATAACAAGCTAATAAACAATAAATATAAAAACTTTTTTATTATAATATTAGTTTTTAATTTTAAATTAAAAAAAAATTGTAAAATAAATAAATATCCTTTAATTAATTAAAAGCTTTAAAATTATAAATTAAAAAATATTTTATAAAGTTTTAAATTTATAATATATAAAATTTTATTAATAAATATTTAAAATGTAATATAAAAAAATTAAAAAAAAATATAATAAATTTTTTTTTTAACTCGACTAGCTGAACCTAACCTAGTGTAATATTGATATTTAACAGATATATGTATTTTACATGTTTTTATTCAGGTAATTACTATCTATCAGTTATTCTACATATCACTAAACTATATCGGATTTTACTTCCATATCAGCTTGTTGCTATTGACTGTCATATTTTAGACAAATTAAGGTTAACATGCAGTAGCTCCATTAGTGTCATTATTATATATAGGTAATGTTCTATTTCTAACTAGGGATATTCTAAGAAGAAATGAAAGAGGAACTTGGGGGTAATATCTATTTCAGCAAATAGAACTCTGTAGAGGAAACCTTCTAACCCAATTGGAGTTGAGATTACTTGCAAAAAGAGATACTAGGTACCATAAGGAGATGATCACTTGCAGGAAGAGATACTAGGTACTATAAGGAGATGATCACCAAAATATCTTGCTCTAAATCAGACACCTTCTACATCTTTTTTAGTTTCCAACTTCCAATGATCATTATAATACCAACCGAATGATTATTGTATCACAATACCTTTTTTGGAGATCATAATCTTAATGCCTACCAGATTGGCATATGAATTGGCTTTTTATAAGAAATGGTGTTTAGCAGATTATGGTGTCAAATATTATATTAATTCTATTCAACTGCCTTCACTTGGGATTGAACTCTAATATCTTGTAATCTGAATCTGAGAGCACTGACCACTGTGCTATAGACACACAGGTTATAACAAATATTTTAATTAAATTCTAAGAAAATAATAAAAATATAAACAAGTTTTGAAAAATATATTATATTAAGAAATAAAAAAAACAAACCATTAAAATTGTTTAATATATAAACAATAATATTTTCAAGTTATTTAATTAACAATATATGGAAATAAAAAAACAACAATTATATTTATTTTCAAATTATATTTATAAATTATATATCAAAAGCAAGTTTTTAAAAATTAAATGGTTTATATATAATATGTGGTTTTTGTGTTATTATGTTTTTATTCTTAATAATTAAATTTTTAAAAAATTTATTAATTTATATTGAAAAATATTTTTGTATTCAATAAGCAATATAGAGTTATTTTATTTTATTTTTTGACTCATGTTTTTTACATAACATTTAAACTTACAATTTTTTTACAAATTATATAAGAGATTATAGTCATATTTTTTGATTGCTCATTTATCTTTAATAAAATTTATAAAAAATAAATTTTCAATCAATAATAATTTAATTAATTAATAATAATACACTACATTAATATTGTAGCAACAAAAATAAAGTTTTTTTTTCAAATAAATGAACAATAAATAGTTAGTTTTAATAAGTGTTTTTTACACATTTATTTATAAATTAAAATTTTTTTATAATCCATATTATTATAAATATTTTATATACAGCTTTTTAACGATCACAATTCTATGATTATAGCAGTATATACTGTACATGATTTTTTTATACATATGGCAATCCATTTTTATTATTTTTATTTTTAATAATAATAATAGCAGTAAACAATAATTTCAAATTTTCCTAATCAATTAACTATATAACCGAAATTATTAGTCTCGTGCATACGGTAAATATATAACAAATATCATATCATTCGTAATAAATTTAAGAAACTTAGTGATGTTTAAAAGGGATTTTATAACTATTATATTTTTATGAGAGATGGATTACCGTTATACAGTACAGTATAAAGGTTACGTTCTATGTAAATCCTACCTGCTTACTAAGAAACTAGCATTTGCATAAATAATGAATATGGGTTCCATCCTTGTAAATTGTTTTCTGTTTTGTAATAATGTAAATTCAACATTATATTGGGAACTCCATTTACTTTCCGTTTTGAACTAATAGTGTTTTCTAGAAATTCATTGTTAAGCTTAGACGTTTCACCATCAACATTTTACTGTTAAAGATAAGATATCAAGATACTGAAAGAAGAAGCATTTTTATAAAGTCAATCTATTATATTTTAGGAAATGATATGACAAAAGTAGCGAATTCATCCGATAACGCATTTCTGCAAACCAAATTAGGCTTAAATGGTCAAAATTTTCTGCTTTTATATTAGGGAATTTGGTTGTTGGAGCGATTAAAAACTTTATTCTGCAAGGATGAGTTCTTGGCATATTCCAAATGATAATGAAGGTGTATATGCTGATGGCATATGCGAAATTACTTTTCATGTTCACATGCCGAATAGGTTTGACAGGTCCCTGCAACCGTTGGTTCTTGGAAGTGTTAGAGAATTAGGAACTTGGTGCTACCCAGTTGTAAAGTTGCGTCAAAACGACACCAATTCTACTTATTGGTTTTCTGATCCGGTTAAAATTTGTATTAAAGATCACCCAATTTATTACAAATACGCGTTGTATCTACCGAAAAAAGATCAAAGTCTGTTTGATATCCTCGGTGATAATGTTCTTGGTAGTAGTACGATTGTGATGGAAGGTAATTCGGAACCGTGCAACCGATTACTATCCTATAGAGGCTTTCAATACGATGTGTGGAAAACCAACGATGCTAAGAAACTATATAGTCCAGATCTAAACAAAGATTACAAGTTTGTTGACGTAGTATACGAGTCAGTGACTTCGGAAAATATTAAAGAAAAAATTATGGAATTTCAAATGCTATTAAAATATCACCCGAGTCTGACTGCAGATGCAGTTGATATGGCCTTAATTCGTAACCTTGTTGCTACTTCGCGCGAGGACTATCAACGAATCTTTATATGCTTTTTATTGGCATACCACATTTATGTCGCTCAAGAGAGAATGGGAAACCAAACACGCGTCCGACTACC